TTCTGCCAATTCTTCTCCTACAGCGTCATTGGAAATGCTTGTTCCGTGACCTGGTCGGTGTTGCTGGGCACGCGCAATCTGCACATGCACGGTCCAGCGTGTCGGAGAAGGATCCCGACCAAAAAAACCCTGGCAAGGAAGCTACGGAAGAGAAGTCAGAGCCCGAAGAGGAGGAACAGGATCTTTACCCACCAGTCCGGCTGCGCCCCGGATCGCTCCGCACAACAGCTGGTAACGAGTTACGTTGTACTTTGGAAGAGCTTAGCTTCCCTCTGCTCCCGGATGCGCGTGCGACTCCTGCAGTTCACAGCGCCAACCTCCTGCGAGAAGTCGTTTTCTCTGAGGATGCGTTTGCCCGATGTACCTCTTGTCACCTTGCAAGCCCCCTCGGTGGTGATCGCTGTGTTATGGCGAAACATCCACTGCCTTGGCAGGGAGCGGTCACGGCGTTTCCTGAAGAGCCTCGGCCACAGCTGCCACAGCTGACGCTGAGCAGAAAACAGCCTGTGTGGGCATGGCGCATCGCGCGGCGCCCTTGTGCATACTACGAAGTTGAAATGAAAAGACCGGTGGATCGGGTTGTTGCTGCCGGGGATTCGCCCGGGGCACACTGCGTGTCGGTTGGCCTGGCGCTCGCATCCATACCTCTGCGAGGCTTGTGCCGACAACAGGCAGGCTGGAACCAGCATAGCTGGGCACTGCACGGAGATGATGGTCAAATGTACCACGGACATGGCCAAGGTCAGCGGTTCAATCCACTGTGGATCAACTCTTGCCAAGGAGGAACTGCGAATGGCTATGCAGCAGATGCTTCCCGAAACGATTCGGAGAAGCATCAAGGTCGAGGCCGCATGCCGAAATTCAGCGTTGGCGATGTCATCGGCTGTGGGGTTTGTAAGCTTGATGCGCCTGGAGAGTTGGGCATCTTCTTTGCGCTCAACGGCGAGCTTCTAGGTGTTTGTTTTCCGGTTTTCGCAACTGTTGAGCCTCGATTCTATCCATGCGTCGGGATTGACACGCCCTGGGACTTGTCCTTCAACTTTGGTTGCGAGCCCTTCCGTCTGGATTTGAATAAACTCCAGAACTTGAAGCACGTCTATAGCCCTCGATATGCAGCGACCCGTTGGATTGATGTGTCCAATCGGGTCATGGAGTTTCCCATCTCGCACTGGCCCTCAAAAGTCTTGTTGGAAGCACAGGAACTCTCGCTGGACAGCGATCCCAGCGATGATCATGATGACAGCAGTGATCGCAACACTGATCATGAGCAGGCAGATGGCCAAGATTCAGCAAGTCATACCGACACAGAAAGTCCCGATCTAGATGCAGGGCCACTTGGCCTCGACAGGTAGGCTCGAGCTCACATCGAATGATGTCGCAGAGCTGCAGCGCTTAGCAGCTCAGTGGTGAGCGCCTGGAAGAAAAGAATCGGACTTTGGCTCGTGTGATACTGGTCAAGAAATGTGGCCAGAAGGTTCGTCTTGCATGTTGGTTTCCGGATCGTACGTTCAAGTCAACATGCAACATGACCGGTAGTGTCGTGCAGGCCTCTTCCCACAGCTGGAGCATTTGCATCTTTCCCAGAATTCTTTGGAGGAGGCACGGGTGTCATGTACTCAGGGCTGCCTTGGATCACTCCTCATCAAATCCCAACACCGACTGCACTGGGAGTAGACAGTCGTGCATACATTCGCTTCTTCACGGTGGTTTTGCAGGGCATCCCGACTACCCTCGACGATGCAGAGGTGCTTGCGGCTGCTGCAGCCTTTCTATTATGTTCGTTGGTTCGTGTCGATGCCGTTGTTCCAAGTTAGCATGCGCAGACATGCAGGTTCGAAGAGCTTGTTTTGAGCTCCTGGACAACGGGCTCCAACTGTTATTCCCGTTACGAAAAGCACCAGAACAACTATCCATTTCAGGTTGACTTTAACTTGCGTTGAACATGGGTCGGGCAAGTACTTGTCAAGCAAGCGCGGGCAGATCCCATCGGGTAGATCTTATCGTACTGTTGCTTGAGGGAGGCAGATACAGAACAGCCCCAATCCTCCCTTCTGGCGAACACTGGTCGGTGTCGTGCTGTACAGTGGCCGGCACGGACGTTACAGCTGGTTGCTGCGACCTTGAGCTGGGTGCTTTGTGGCAGCAGTGCGGCGGGACAGATCATGAATTCGCCCGCCGGCACGGATTCTTAAAGGCATCTGCCGTCCAATTCATGCTGGTGCCTCGTATACCTTCTGACCCAAAGTCCCAAAGCTGAAAACTTCACAAGCTGGGGCATCCTGCAGAGGGGCTCCGAGCGTAGTGGCGACACAAGTGGTGAGTTCTTCCTTGAACGGCTATACCGGGATCCACAAGCGACTACTTGTAGGCCCCGATGTTCCGCACGTTCTCGAGAAGTGCTCAAGCTTAGCAAAAACTGGTTGGCTAAAAGGTAGGAGATGCAAGGCATCTTGTCGAATGCAGCAACAGGGATCCAAAAACAAGTCGTAGAGGCATGATCACAACCATCATAGTGCCGTTGATCTTGACCTAAGTTGCTCAAGATGCACGGCGGAACCAACTGTGCTTTCAGATGTGGCCGACAGGGGAACGCCGATGCGCCTGTGCGCCGCTTGCAGAGACTTCAGTCGCTGGCTTCCGCCTTATGATTGTGGCGTGTCATGGTGCTGAATCCATCCACCGACGTGCCAGGTTTTGGACAACAACCGCATTTCGGACTGGACGGTTCTGTCCGTGCCTTCTTACATTCGGTGCACAGATGAGCGGGAATTCCATGCATTGGTAGGCAGACCTGTCCTAAGGCGCCGTGCGATTGCTGCTTTTCCTTCCCTGCAGGCAGCACGTCGCATGGGATTGTGCCGGGTGTTAGGGAATGTGGGGCCCAGGCCCTGCACTTGAATGGCAACCTGCTCGGCGAAAGCACCGAAACTCAGGGAGAGATCCGTGATGATCCGTGAGTCGGTGTGGGATGTGCGGGACTTCCTTTCGGCTGCTCAACCGAGGCATCGAGGGTCTGGCTCAAGCTGCGGCCGACCAGACGCCAAGGCGCCTTACAGCGAGACCCCAAGCAAGGCGAAGGCTTGAGTAACTCTTTCGAGGACCCAGATGCATCCACTTGAGGCACTTTTCTTGAACGAAAACAAGTTGGCAGCTTCTCTGCATGTCGCGAAGCCCACTTGTAGCTGTTTTAGTGGGTTTTGGCTGAGGCCTCCTGGCGGAGCATCGGTGCGCTTTCCAGCTACGCCCTCCTGGAGCTCAAGGCGTACCGAGCATGCTGGGTTCGTTTCGAGACGCAGCTCCATTCATGAGAGGTGCAACGAATCCCTCTCACCGATTCGGGATCTCCACTGGCCTCTCCGATGCTGCTGCGACAGGCCAGGAGTCTTGCAAGAGCGAATGCAGTGTCTTGTTTTCAATGATTAGATGCTAAGTGCCGCAAGGTTCTTATCGCCCTCATGCCAACGCTCATGCGGCTCAACGCTTCTGAGGTAACCGTGAAGGTGGCTGGGGGTGTTTTTATGTCACTTGGAAGTCGGACAGTCTCAACGCTGGACCTGAACATTGCAGGAGAGGACGGCTGCAGAGAGGTCGTTCCTGGAGGGGCAGTACAATCGGGTTTACACGGCACTGGCCTGACGACAGGTACTTCCTGTCCATTGCTCATCAGACTGACAGCCTGCTGGTCGGGCCTGAGTTTCAAAGACTCCGTTTTTGTTGCTGCCGTGCTTAACGACTTCATCCCTGAGGTGCAGGGACTGGCGGAATCCTGCAACATCCAAGAGCATGCTGCGGACTCGATGTTTTCACATGCGCGCTCTTCGCGCAAGAACTTACAGCCGAGGTTGAGAGATTACGTGCGATCCACGGTGCGGTAGCCTGAAGCCAAGTGCGTTTGGGGCTCCCGCTGCATCAGCTCGCAGCCGCCATCGCAGTCCCGGCTTCTTAGGTCGGTGGTGACATCACCGAGCACTCGCAAGCTTCACGATCCGCGCTGTCGAATGCCTTAGTGGAGGCACATCCGTGCCACGCGCCACGCCGCATTGCCTCGCGGGACAGTGCTATGTCTATCAGGTCTCCTTACGACCGGTGGGTGCAGCCATCGTGGAGAAGCCCGTAACACGAAAGAAGGCCTTGCCACCAACGCAGGATCTCCGTTTTCTACGAGCAGCATCAATGCGGGTTGCGGTCTGGAAAGGTGCCACACACCATGACAGTGGGAGAGCTGAAAAGACTGGCACAGCTGCTCTTCAAGCAGGTGCACAGAGAGGTGCAACCCGCACCGCTCAGAATGCGATTGGATCGCAGGTGCCGTTGGATAGGCTGATGCTGACCTTGGCAGACGACGGGCTACCCTTTGGGGCCGGTACCTCAGATCGGCAGTGGGGTCTTGCAGCAAGGCTCAGCTCAAGATGCCTGGAGCAGGTGCCACTTGATGATGAGGCCAGGGAGCTCGGTTTCTTCGGCCGGGGCCCTTCGCTCTTCCGATCCGACTACGCTGAAACATCCGTATCACGGCCGCGCGAGGAATTGGAGACGGAGCTGAAATCCGTGTGGATGATTCTGCAGACATTCCACCCCCAAAGACATGACAGCATTGTGTTAAGAGAAGGCACGGATGCACGGGCGATCATGGGTGTTTAATTTGGGTTTTGGGAAAGCATCTCCTACAGTACCCAGCTCTCAAAGTCACAATATATTCTGACCTGCCACAGCCAGCTGCCTTCATGAGATTCTGTGTGTGGTCCATAAGTGACCAAGACAGTTGCAGAAGGCATAAAAAGGGCACAAACCTCAAGCTAGCGAGTGTAGTTGCTGCATGCATGCTGACGTGCGTGGGCACCAAGTCCCAGGGCCAAGAGTCTGCTCAAGGCTGCTCTGCTCCAGTGTCCAGAAGCTAGAGGCTGCCCATCAAGCTCAGTCCCACAGGCCTTTCTGGGAATAGGTCCTGCACCAGACATGTGGTAACCTCCTGTGCTTAAAGAGTCTTGGTCTCGCCTCGCATGGGTCGGGGACTGCCCAATCACTTGGCATCACTTCTCCGCCACCATGCGCCGGAGAAGCCATCTGAGGAGCAGGTGAAAGCAAAGGAGACCGGTCGAGCGGCGCGTAGGCGTGCTGCACGAAGTAAGCGAAAGATCAAGAAAGCCGAGAGGCATAGCCAGGAGCAGGAGAAACGGCGTGCCAGGAAGGCGGAGCGAGCAGAGAAGCTGGTTGCCCAGGAAGATGTCCAGCCCCCTGTTCAGACTGCCGAAGTGACCTCTGAAGTCAAGACAAAACGGCAAGGAAAGAGCAAGGCCGTGAAGCAAGTTCAGCCGAAAAAACCGGGCAACGCTGCAAAGGCCTCCGGAGTCGAGACGTTGTTCGATCCAGAAGGTGCAGCGAGAGATGAGGCACTTCTGAGAAAGCTGGAGAAAAATCTTGGGATCGCACGGGATCCGTCCAAGAGAAAGAAGGAGGAACGCCGGATATTCGAGGCACTCGGCTTCGATGCCTTCGATGCTGCGGATGCTGGCATGGAGGAGCTCTCATCGGATGAGCAGGGTCCCGAAGAGGTCACCAGCTCGCATGGCCCTGCGCCTGCACATCGCCTACCAGCTGAGGGCGACTCCTCTGCAGATGCCATGGCGAGTTTGCTCGAGACCATTCTCGGAGGTAAGTCATCCGCAACTGATGCTGGCCCCAAGAGAAAACGCCGTGTAGCAAAGTCTCTGAAGATGGCACGTAGCACCTAACAGACACCCATCCGAAGGAAAAAGGCAAAGGCTTTTCATCGTGGAGCGTTGCCTTCGCGTACGCAACCTGGCAATGCTCTCCCGTGCTGGACAGTTGCTGAATGATTTTTCAGGCACTGCAAAAGCAAACAGACTTTCCCATCCTCTGCAAGCGGTGGCACATGTTTATGTTGACCACGTGGCGAAGCGCAATACGTCATGAGCATGCATGAGCACGACGTTGCCCTAAGCATCACATCGCGAGCATGCCTCCCAAGCCACGCGGCGACTTTGTTTGTTCGGTGTGCGGCTTCAGATGCCGCAAGCCACTGAGCAGCTGCGTGCTCGTTAATCCGTACTCTCTCTCTCTCTCTCTCTCTCTCTCTCTCTCTCTCTGTCTCTCTCCGTGTGCACATTCCAGTCTGCTCTGACTGCGATTGCCCAGGCTATGATTACTTTGGCAAGACTCCACCGTTTGAGCACGAAGCAGTGAGGTGCTTCGGCTCCCGAAGTCATTCACGGCTTTGCAGCCCTGCTGGACAGGTGGGTTGAGGACATCTTCGCTTTGAAGAATCCGCAGGGGCCTTGTCGGGTCAACAAGCGACAAGCATCTTAGTGACTTGTGGCGGCATTTCCGCAGGGTGCTAGCACGCAGAGCACCGTCGGAAGCAAGATCTAGTGCGACAGCTCCACAGATGCCAATCGGTGTTCTTGTTCAGATGCATAAAGCTGCGGCATGGCCAGTAGAACTGAGACAACAGGGCAGTGAGGGCAGCAGTCGAGTCCCTTGTGAAAAAAGGGCTGAAGGCGCTTCACGATGACCCTGGCCTCCAACGGGGGGTTATTGAATTTGAGGTGCGGGAGACGTGGTCCAGGTTCGGCAAATCGAAACGACAATCCAATGTCCGATGGGCTCGTGTTTTTCGATCCCCTCCATGTTTAAATCAACCCCCCATTTCACGCATCTTCGGACACCGTGGGTGCAATTTCACCCTCCCGCCCTTCGCCGTTTCCTTTCGGCCCCGTGGTCTATGCTTTTGGGCCCGGCAGGTCCTTTTTGATCTCGGAAGATTGCTTGTCTGCCCCGTGAGCCCCGAAAAATCGCAGCACGTATCTTGATTCCCTCCCTCCTCCACAGGGCAAGAGGCTATGCTCTGCTTACAGGAAGGCACGACCTGTGTTTGCCAACCGTGCTGCCCTCTCTCCTGGCCAAAAGGCACCTTTTCGTGTAACTTCGACTGTGGTTGAGGGTTTGAGGGGAGAACGACCGCTCCCTTTGAGTTCATGTCCGGATCTTCCTCAATGTATGTATGCATGCATGCATGGCTGAAACGCGTTAAAGGGTTTCGGTACTCGGACAACAGGAAACCTTAACATCTTGCGAACAGTATGAACTAGCACAGTCTTTTTGCAGCTGTGCTGATAACAGGAAACCGCAACGTTTGCCAATTGAGAAATTTCATACAACTCTTGCAATGCATAGGAGGAGAAGCGTTAGAATTTGCATACAACTCTTCGTAACGCGTGAATGTTTGTATGGAGTGCATAGTGGGGAACAGAACTATGGCATTTTTTGTGCGGCCGTGCCATCAGTATCATTATGTCAATCGTGTGAGGCTCACGTGTTGGGGGGTGTCTGCAGAACGAAACTACTGTAGCACCGTTGTGTGTGGTGCTTCGCCGACAACGGGAAACCTCGACCTTGATCAACTCTGTAAGCTGCATAAAAAAGGCATCATTACGCTTTTATGTTTTCGAGCGCATCTTAGGATACAAACTGTCTCCGGTCTTTTTGCGGCCTCTTATCCGCAGCATCGTGTCAGTCGCGCGAAGCTGACACGTCCTGTCGCTCCGCTACGAGCTCATTCTTTCCCTCGCTAAATCATAGTTTTCGTCGCCTTCATCCCATTCGTCACCTTCCCGCTTTCATCACCTTTTACCCCTTGTCACCTTCAATTCCCTTCGTCATCTCCATATCCCCTGTATCCCCCTCGTCCCTTGGTTCCAGAATTTGCCTACTCCCCTCCTCCTCCCTACATGAACGGAGAGGCCAAATGCGCCCGGTTTTCGCCGGGCCAAAACCGGGCACATTTGCTCCTTCCCTCCCTGCACCCCTTCAACGGCAAGGCCAAAAGTGCCGGCATGGGGGGAACCCCGAGATCGGCTCCGACCACAATCAAAAACACATTTAGAACCCCAAATTTGCCTGCTCCTTCCTCTTCCTTACACCCCATGAACGGAGAGACCAACTGTGCCCTGTTTTTGGGCTCGCCAAGCCCCGCAGGCCCGAAAACGGGACACATTTGCTCCTTCCCTTTCTGCACCCCAGCAACGGCAAAGCCAATCAAAAAAGCATTTTTTACGAAAAGAATTTATCACTCAAGCTCTGGCCCTGATTTTCCAAAATTTGCCCGCTCCCTCCTTCTCCCTACACCTCATGAACGGCGAGACCAAATATGCTTGGTTTTTGGGCTCGCCGGGCCCCACGGGCAAGAAAACCGGGCACATTTGCTGGTTAAGGCTTTTGGTTCAAGGGTGTAGGGTTTGTTGCATAAGAGCGAGGTGCGAGCACACTGTACCGCTGCCTCAAGCTTTTTGATGGGGTTTATCGAGGCCTTGCCGCAGGTGGTTGGGTTTCTTCAGTGGGGGTGGTCTTCAGGGTGGTTTGGTTTGGCGTGCCCCGCTCATTGCCAAGGATCGTGGGTCCTTTTGGGACTCACTTTCCTCTCTGGCATTAGCGTGGGCTGTTTCCTTGCCCTTGCCACCGTCCTGTGGACTTTTCCTCACCTGTGCCACCCCTCCACCTGGACTTCTGCCTCTCCGCGTCCTTCCTCTTCCGGGCACCCGCCCTCTGGACTTTCCCCTGCACCAGCTGCCCCCGAACCTCAGCGGCCACGGCACCTACGATTGCGAGGTTATCTTGTGCATGGCCAGTGACGAGGCCGACCTGTCCAGTGCCATTACCGAGGTGCAGCTTGCCCTGGAGCGGCTGCGGATTGCCAGTTTGCGTGCGCCTGGCAGGGCCTCCACTGCTGAGCCTGCCTCGGAGTGGGAGGTTGTTGCCCCACCTTCTGGTGAGCTGCCTGTGGGTTCTAGGGCTAGGGTTGATAGTCCCCCTAGGGGTTACCCTAAGGCCCTTCCTGAACCCGTGTCTGCACCCCCTGCCACCCGTGCCGCCACTGAGGCTGATTTCCCAGCTTGCCCTCAGCACTGCCTTGACCTGTGTGTTCGGCTTACTAGCCCTGGGGTCTCTGCAGAGACCCGCGTGCGCCGTGCCTGGAGGGCCGGCTGCTGGGCCCGTGAGGTCCTTGCTGGAAGGTGGGCTACGCCCCTATCTTCGCAGCCCCTGCCTACTGTGCGTCCGGTGGTGTACGTGGTGCTTTATAGTGCTCGTCTGCCTGGACCCGCCAGGTTCTCTACCTTCGCTGCCCTCCGGGCCGCCATTGGGGAGATCGCCCATAGCGACTCCGTGCTTCACTCCTTTGGCTCTCTGGCCGAGGCTAGGGTCCACTGCTACGCTGCCGAGGTCGAGTTTCCCGCACCTCTTCAGGGATGAACCCGGACGATATGAAGTTCGACCCGCAGGGGGTGGGGCAACCTTGTGCCCTCACCTGGCCCCTAGCGACACAGGATGCCGAGGAGCCCCGGGTCTTAGCCCTACCCTTGAGGCGCAGGCCTGGCGGCTTCATGTTGGCCCTCCCGGCCTCACTCAGCGCTTCCCTTGCAGACGACGCGGCCTCAGACGATCCCCTGGATATGTTGGGCCTGTCTCTTTTGGTCACCGTGCCAGCCGTCGAGGAGGACGAGCAGGGGGAAGAAGTGCCAGTGGGCCTCGAGTGCCAAGTTCTCCTCCTGGATGCCGACGACGGCCTTGCAGAGAGAATGGAACCCTTCGACCCGGTGACCGACCTGGACGTACTGTCGTTTGTGCCCGGCTCCTCCCAGCTCTTCCCTCAGCCAGAGGCTTTGCAACGAGCGGCCCGGGAGTGGGTCGAAGGGGACACCTCCGAGAAGCTCGCTTTCTACACGGCGGCCGAGGAGCTGCCCGAGGAGCCTGCGGTCCAGGCCAACCAGGCCCCGAAGCGGCAGGCTGCGCCCAAGAAGCGTGTGACTGTGAACCAGCTGTCAGAGCAGGTGTCAGCTCTGACAGGAGTGCTGCCAGGGCTGGTGGAGCAGATGAAGAACCTGGTGGACAGGCAGAATCAGCTAGAGAAGGCCGCTCCGGCCGCCGCGCCGGCCCGGGCCCCCGTGCCGCCCCATCAGCAGCCCTTCCCCGTAGCAGGTGCACAGGCCCCAGGCTCCCTAGGCGTACTGGCAAAGAGCCTTCAGGTGCCCGCCAAAGCTGTCAGCCCGTTGCCTCTCCCGCCGCCAGCTCCCAGTGTACCCAAGGCCGTGCCCCAGGGGGCCGCCGCCGAATCCACCTCAGGAGACTCATCCCTTGCCAAAGCGCTGACCCAGCAAGGCGAAGCACTGTCTCTCCTGGTGTCTCACCTGGTGGCCCAAGGAGAGTCCTTAGACTTGGGGAGCTCCTCGACTTCGGTCAGTGGGAAGGGCTCTGCCAAGAGAGAACGCCTGCAGCAGGAGCTGGCAGCAGGGTCCTCGACCTTCTTCTTGCAAGTCTGCCAGGGCGCCCACCGCCGCCTTCACCCGGCCTTGCCCGTGCCGACCAGCCTGGACGATATGAAGGCCCAGGGGCGGCTTTCTTTGGTTTCCTACCTGGAGAGGCAGGGCGGCTATGCCCAACAACGAGGGACCGGGCTTATGATGCTGATGCTCGCCACTATCGGCGACTGTTTCCTGAGGGGGGACACCCACGCGGCGATGGAGCACCTAGGCCTCGCCCTTGCCGCCACAGAGCAGTCCTGCACGGACAACGGGAGGTGGGACCTAGGTTTCTTGCTGACACTGCTGGAGGAGCCTGCTCCTTCCATGTTTGCCCCCCGCGGGCAGGCAGCCAATACTCGGCTGAGGGCTTTCTCTCCCCTGGTGCCGCCGACGCTCGGCTCAGTGACTCTAGCTTATGTGAGGGAGGTGGATCTCCTTTCACAGAGGCGGAAGGACGCAGTTCAGCCCAGCCGGGCCGCCGCAGAGACCGACGAGGCAGGAGGCGACGAGGCAAAGCCCGAAAGGCAACGTTTTCCCCGACGGCCCAAGGCTCCGTGAGCCCTGCCTCTGCTTCTCGGCCTCAGCCCGACCGATTTATGAGCCCTGGTACCGGGACCCCGTCAACGAATTCTTCTTTTGTTCAGTCCCCTTGCCCTCGTGGCGGGACTATGCATGGAGGCAGCCAGGCTCTTTTGGAGGTAGGCTGGCCTAGCGTCCCCGACCCTCGGGTTGATGCCCCCTTGTCTTTTCGGAGCTGGGCTCTTCGTGCGCATTTGAAATTTATTAAGGCCCGCACGCCCTTCTCTGCCTTCCTTTCTCAGACTTTGCACCTTTGCCGGCGCGGCGTGTGTGCCCCGGCCCATGTCCTGTTTCCGCTCCCCCTTCCGCACCCGGCCATCTTCCAGTCCCGCTCTTCGCTTTCGTCAAGGCGGCGGGCCGTGGTTGCTGAGCGGCGTCTTTTGCACATCCTG